GCTGCAAGCATGGAGGTAAAAAAAGAACAGAGGTGTGAATTCGACATTCAACACAAACCACCAAACAATTCAGAAACTTTTAGCCTTCGAAAATGAAAACAATTAGCAGTGTGTACGGGCTGTGTAATTTCCTGTTTGTCCGACGCTTCGTTTTCGTGTCACTGTCAAAATTATTGCTACCTTTTACTTAACAGGGACTAAATGGTCTCTATAAAACAATAATCAGGATCGCAAAAAAAGTCAACTCATTTGAAACACTTGCCGTCTCTCTCTCTCTCTCTCTCTCTCTCTCTCTCTCTTCTGAAATCCGCCTCAGTGATCATGGTCCGGAATCTATTTCTTTCAAAAGTATTGCGCCAGGTTTATGTTGTCGGCGTTTCTCTTTAAACCTAGTTTATTTTTCATGGACGAGGACAGTTTTTCCAAAAAAATGAATCTGAGGTTAAGTGGCTTTCGTCCACTGATGTCGCACCTTCGAATCGATTAGAAATGTGTGAATACTTACACTATGACTATATGTTTCACTGCAACTGCCCACAACACAACATCAAAAAACTCTCTCTCTCTCAAAAAAAAAAAGAAAATAGACAAAAAAAGAAAGAAAAAAAACGCCGACTGAAAAATGTATATCGTTTAAAAGTATACTGAATGACCAGTGTTATTACGGCTCAGGGGTATGACTTCCTCTCACATTTTGGCATTTGGTGGCGCACTTTCGGCGAGAGTCGGAAATCCGGAAACAGTCGACCATTTCAGGATAGGTGGGCGTGGCTACAACATGAGAAATATCCCAAATTTACTTGGATACGAGTAATCATTTTCAGCAAAAAAATCAATAACTGCCCATTTCAGTGGAGTACAGATCTAAAATGGGAAACGTGAGGGTGGGCATTGCACAGGCACTTTAAGCTGAATTGATTATGTAGGCAACAGTACAGATATATTTCAGTTTTGAAAATTGACATGAAATCAATAAATCGGAAAGATTATAACCCTCGAGTACATTTTTTATAATGAGTATGAAGGTAAAGTGTATTTTGTTAATGTTAAAGACACGTTAAAGCTGAAGTAAAACAGGAGGATATGACACATTGAGAGGAAGAGGAGGAAGTTGAGAAAAGTCTTACCATTCATGGTTTCTTCTCTCTTTTTCAATTCTTTGTATTTCATATTTCTTTCACCTGACATTTAAAACAAACATACATATAAAGCATTGGTGACAAAGCATAATCTTGTGTTGGGAGTGAATAATACCAGACTTTATAATTGCATGTAAATTTATACAATTACATGTAGAATTTACACCAAAAAGGTGTGTCCTACAGGCATCTATAAATGTACCCACAAATGTAATCTTCTTGTTTGTAAAGAATTGTACACTTGAATTTCAAACTCTCTATATTTATACTTTATACTAGAAAAAGCAATCCTTGGATTTGTGAGTGAAATTTTAATGAACAGCAACAAGTTTTGAAATGGTGGACTGACATTTAGAAGAATTACTTTTCTAGTATTGCCAGTACCAGTGTAGTTGAATCAGATTCATATTTTAGAGCACACTTTTAGAAAAGATCTGAAAACAATAGACGTGTATAAACCACGAAAGATGGACGCTAATGCAATTGAATGTGGACGGTGAACAAATATCATTGACCGACCTTCATGACCTGGAAAATAGTTGGTCAATAAATTAAAGCAGGAGCTGACTGACTATGGTTTATAGTATTTAATTTTAGAAAACAGCTCATTGTTTGTTGCTATTTGACTATATTTGAAAAATTACCCTGCTTTTCAATTTTTTTACATTGTTATTTGAAAAATTACCCTGCTTTTCAATTTTTTTACATTGTTATTTGAAAAATTACCCTGCTTTTCAATTTGTTTACATTGTTATTTACTTGGAGTTTAAATGTGCTAGGGGACATAATAATATACCTCTACTTCCAAGTTTCAATTAAATGACTAACATTTAGTATTAAACAAATGACCTTGCTGTTGGTAGAGCTCCGCTGTAATTGACAAGTGCAGAGGACAGTGGCAGTTACTAGGTGGATATTTTATTTAAGGTAGAGATGCAGGTTGGGGGACTATATTTCTAATTGCCTCTAATTACTGTAATTACATGAGTAAAATATACTTTTTACCCATCAAGTTATATATCATTGGGAAGAGTTTTAGCTAAACTTTTGAGTTTTATGGTTTACAATAATGTACTATGATACCATATTAAGTGATGTTGATTTTGGGTTAAAATCATGCATTTTAGGTGAAAGTGCACTTAAAACTATTTAACTTTTGAATGCATACCCAGATTTTGATTTAAAAACATTTTTTTAAAACTTCTGTTTACTCGGAGCATAATGGCTTATTTATTAGTGTTTCCCTTGAAAAGTTTTTACACAGTGCTCTTTGAAACATTCACATTTTATAAATCATTCACAGATAACAGAGCCGCTAATTGGCCGCTCTATTGTTTCTGTTCCAGTGAAGACAGTGAAAAAGTAGTCCCATTACAACAGTGTTTGTAAATATTTGTATGTGTAACAATTATGGGTTAAGAAATAAAATTAATATTATTTGCAGCTATTATGGGTAACTTTACATACCTTGATGTTCTTCTAAATCCATCTCGAGGTGTTGAATTTCTTCGGTTATATTATTAATCTGCTCTTTCAACTCTTGAATTCTAAGCAATAAGAATATGAAGGTATTAACAAATGCTGTCACTTCCATACAAATGCAATACTTAGTTTAGAATAGGAAAATATAGGGTATTTTTTGCTCCAGTGCAGCTTGTATTGCTCCACATCTAATAGCTGAAACTCGTGAACTGTTTTAACAATCATAGGATTCATGTCTGACTGAATATAATACGACTTTTTCATCCCTTACCACTGAACACAATTTTGAGATGAAGAAATAATATAACTATAAAATACAAACCCCAAAATGCAATTTTTTCCCCATTTTCCATTTTCCTGAAAAATTTGTTTGGTGATATTTTTTCAAACTTTTGTAAGCGAATAATCTTTCATTTGGTCCATATCTCCATAACATGGTGGCTATCGACAATGACTAAATTTTGTTAAATGTTGATTATGTATGTACCTTCATTTCTTCCTAATGCACAAACATGCATATCCAGTCAGTATCAGTACCGTAACATATATTCAATGGAAATTGAATGGCATGTAAAATGCAGTATCAAATCAAATAGCCAGCAGTTACTCAAGTTTCAGTGAAACAAAAAAATTAATTGATGTGCATATATACTAGAGCTCTATACCAAACTTTGAGCAAAATCTGTCACAGCTTTTGTGAGAAATGATGACGAATGTAAAGTTGGATGTGCTTAATAACAACAGTTTTAAGATTACGTGTAAACAGGAACTAAAAATCAACTTACTGTCTTTCCATACTGGCTATTTCTTGATTATCTTCTTTGACTTGTTTTAATAATCTTTCTCTTTCTTCAGCAGGTGATCCTTTTTGTTGTTCTTCGTCCACTATACTTGCTTTCTTGGCTTCTAGTTCATGTAATTGTTCATACAATCTAACAGCTTCCTGTTTTACTTGTGAGGTCGATAGTTCCTATGAATCAAGGGATTCAATTTAGACTGAATTCATGCAATGCTTTTCTTCTGACAACCCACTGACTGAGGCAATGCTTTTATTCTGACAACCCCCACCTTTATTAAAGTATAATTAAATAATTTAAAATGTTTGAAATGATTTTTAAAGTTACATTCCCACTTGATCTGAGTCCTGTAAGCATTATATAGCCTTATATTGTGTATAATTCATGAGAAATTCTATCCAAATAAAATCAAGTTCGAAATTCTACTGAGATAAATTGCCATCAGTTAAAACAATGTTTGAGATTAGACAAGAGGACCTTCAGTACAGGATAGCTTCAGCGCTCCAATATTTCAGGATTTGTTGCCATACCAACTGATTTTATCATTTTTCATGGTGATCACATAGTGAGAGGTGTTCTGCATATTACACAAAATATCATTTGATTATCTTCTTCATTTATTTATTAATGTTTTACAGGTGACAGTTACTGACACTGAACATCATAGTTGTCTTTCCTTACTGTTTTTGATATGCAAATTGCAAACACAAACAGTCACAGTACATATACATATAGCACATTATGCCACTAAAACACCATCCCACGTTTTTAAATACTTGTCAGGGCTATGTGACCGTCTTCCAAGCATATTGGAATTGCAGACAATTTAACACACTATCCCGACATCAACCAGTTCAAAACAAGAGCATTATAATATAGATTTGCATTGTTTGGTGAACTTAATGAAAACACACAATACCTGGTATGATTCTAATAAGAACTTGCATTCAACCTCAGTAAAATACATAATGAGGAGTAATGTAATTGGGAAAAATGTGTAAACATGTAGGCAACAGGAACACATCCAAGATGACAGAATGTTAAATTGCCAAAGAGAATGAACCGTAATAAAACTTATTGAACAGGATCTGCCAGGAAATGAGGTGTTGGCCAAATAAAAAGACCATAGCAGATGGAGATGTGGAATGGAAATTATCTTACAAAAAACCCTTCATGCTTGAAACGAGGCAAGATTTTTAACCAATACCCTAGTAGTTACAGTGTTAAATGCTTTAGGTGGAATTAAGTTTCACTAAAAAGACATTTTTGCTGTTTTGTATGAAGTTTAATTTTTTAGTGATTTTTGATGAGTTGAATGTAAAATACAGGGAAAAAAAAAGTATTTTCACTGGATTTAAATTTCATTGATTCATCTGTCTAGTGAAAATAAGGTACTTTTCAGTAAAACAAAGAACTTACATCTTCTAGATTGTCTCTTTTGGTATTCAAGGCATCTAATTCCTGTTGTTTGGCTTCAAGATCTCTCAACAAAGTTTCATTTGTAACTTTAAGCTGCATGTATTTGTTTTTCATTGTAGGACTCTGTAGAGAAAAGTGTAACATCAACAACTCATCTGCTATTTCAGATTGATTGTAAGCATCACAGTCGGTTGTGCAGTACATGTATTTTACACTTGTTGTATATGATGCAAAACCACAATGTACGACTGTGAAGATTTAACATCATCAAAATTCAACTTGCCTAATTTTTTTTCTACAATCAAACCATGCCATTCATAGATGACTGACAAGCTCTTGTGAGTACCGTAACACGAGTGATTACGGGAGTTATTTAAATAAAAATCGCTTCAAAATAGTCTTAATTGCAAGATTATCAGCTCTCATGGACTTTGATTTGCAAGCGATAAGGGAGTAGAGACTAGACCAGTCTTTTCAAACAGCATATTATTTCAAAGCTTTTGACCAAGACCTGTTAACAATGAACAATTATATCCAATTGAACCAAAATTAAGAAATTATAGAAAAATATATAAAATTTTATACTAGAGCTGATAGAAATAACCAACTCACCATATCATCCACAAGACTATGGCTATACTAGAGCCTGATAGAAATAACCAACTCACCATATCATCCACAAGACTATGGCTATACTAGAGCTGATAGAAATAACCAACTCACCATATCATCCACAAGACTGTGGCTATACTAGAGCCTGATAGAAATAACCAACTCACCATATCATCCACAAGACTATGGCTATACTAGAGCCTGATAGAAATAACCAACTCACCATATCATCCACAAGACTATGGCTATACTAGAGCCTGATAGAAATAACCAACTCACCATATCATCCACAAGACTATGGCTATACTAGAGCCTGATAGAAATAACCAACTCACCATATCATCCACAAGACTATGGCTATACTAGAGCCTGATAGAAATAACCAACTCACCATATCATCCACAAGACTATCTGCCATTCGTTTGCACTGGTCAATTTCAACCTCAACAAGCTGAATTTGTTGCTCTTTCCTGGAAAGAAATAGATGTATATGTAGGTTTCTAATTGTTTCCAATGTTGTGTGTGTATAGGATTCACATCAAAATTATTATTTCTATCAAACATTAGGCAACATAAATAGATGGTACCCAGGAATTCAGTCCTTTATATTTTGAAAGCACTCAATGTAAATTTGTTACACCCACTAAAAGCCACCAAGCATTGAATATAAAAATAAAACATTGTGTTTTTTCTGACAGATTACAGTACTGAGGAAAATATCTGTTTTGGATGTGCATGTCACTCTCTGCTTATGCCCTATGCAATAACCCTAGAGCTATTGGCTACAAAAGCTTTCAAAATGTTACTTTAATAAGCACCAGTAACAAATGAAAGTGGTTTTCATTTGAGAGTTCTGATGGTATTTCAAATATACCATGTATGCTTACTAATAGCCAATGTGCTCTCTAAGATTTTACTTGAAAATCATACATTGATATAGTGATCTTCAAAAATATCTTACTATCGTAGTAATTTGTCAATATGCAGTTTTTTATATAGTTTATGCCTTGACACCAATTTTTTTTTTACTCAAAATAGGGTAAATGTTTTCACACGCATTCTCTGTAATTTTCACTGAATTCAATCTTAATTTTGTTTCAAACAAACAAAATGTGACATTACTTCTAGTTTTTGTTCAAAAAGTTTAAATTTTCACAAGATTGTATGTGAAAAAGAGCAGACTATGAATAGAACTATTTTGTGGATGGTGCTCAGCTTTTGCACTCAAAGGGTAAAAGAATCTCCCTACAATCGTATACAATCTTAATTTTATTCTTGAATACCTCTCTTCTCAGTAGTCAACAAGCTGACACAATTTGATTTTTTGGGGATTCCACTTTGACTCAAGATCTGTACAGAATAAGCCCTATAAGAGGGCATACTTTATAATAAAGCATTAAATTACTCACTCTTGTCGTTCAGTGAATATAGCATCTATACTTTTGGCTTCCATGTCATTTTGTACTTTGAGCTGAAAATATTACAATTATAAGAGAGTTACACAGAGAAATGTACAATGTAAGTTTCAATAAATCCATTGTAATCCACAGCTCATTGCAATGAATTGTTTTATGTAGACAGAAACAGTACAGGGACAGATGGCTAGGAATGCCAATAATGAGAAGAATCTACAATAATGTCACTGATGTTAGTTGGACCATAGACCCTCCTCTACTAGTAGGTTCTATGGTTGGACAAGCTAATCATATACACAAACTGATAAAGTCAAATTTATTTGGATTTTAGGTATCACTTTTTCACTATTCTTTTTTACTTTCAATACAATTTTTGTGCTTTTTGTTTTACTGTCATAAATCTGACCAACTTCCATATGGAGTCCCATAGAAATCTCACAATTCTCAGAATGCTTGTTTCAAACAACAAAGCACTGTGCTGTGTATGTACACATTATGGTGGCGACATATTCTAGAAGCAAAACATTCTCTGATATTGGTTGGTAGTTTACTCTGAATGAACAGGATCTCCAATCGCAGTCGATCAGATGTGTGAAAGTGGATAACCGGTAAAACTAAAAATGCTAGAACAACAATTCTAGTTTTAATCAGATTATGGACCATGCATATATAACCTTGAACTTTTATTATTTATAAATTTGTTTAATTATTCTTACCTCATTGAAATCTTCTAATACAACATCCATTTCAGTGTCAGTGTTCAGCTTGTCAACTAACTAGAGAAGTGAACAAAAATATTTACCACGTTACAGAAAATACTGTCAATTGCTCAAAGTTTTTTCAGTGAATTTTGCAAACTTTTATAACATTGAAAATGTCAACAGGGTTCTAAAGACAGAGTCAGCGTGCCTTTCACAAAACCTAGTCCTGAAAAAAAATTGTGAAAATCCCTAGTAATGACACGTAGTTACAAGTGTCCCAAAGATTTTGACCACAGTATTAATTAAGAAGGTACAAATTAATCTCTATTATTTAAAAATAACAGCAGGTACCAATTCCCCATTCCTGAATTACCATCAGACTGGATATAATTCTATTTGCGCATACGTAACCTATCTGGCAAACCGGCGAGGGTAGGACAAAAATATAAAATGTCAAAAGAGCACCAGTTCAGAAACCCCCAATTAACACATTTACAATGTCCAACCCTTATATGTACATAGTACCAGTAATGAGAAATACCTTGCTCACTCTCCCGAATAAAATAAAAATAACTTACAGTATTGTAATCACCTAGATGACCCTGTAAGTCCTTGAGCTCTGCAGCTAAAGCTTCCGCACTATAAAATAAATGAGCATAATACAATGTACCACAGGTAAATGCAGATAAAGGTAACTTCATCTCAAATGATATTGAACTTGAGTAGAGCGATAGTTCTCAGTCTACTAATAGAAAAGCCTGGAAAACAGGCAACCCTTCATGATCAAATGTCAACCTCAGATTTGTTTTTCAGACATGATACAAAGTTTCAGAGACAATGCATTTAGATAAAGAAAATAACTTGTGCTGCTGTACAGCTAGTGAAGGTACAGCAAGTTGCACATTGTTAAGCGCATTTCATTTAAATTCCTTTGTTCCTTTGTTATTTCTTTGTAGACGCAATGGACACAGCTACCTACAAGTCTTGAACAACATTGTAAGAATATTGAAAATGATAAAAGTACATTTCAGTATACAAATAGCTATTAATATTGAAATAATAATGATGTGTTGATTTAATACAGCCAAAATGTTCAAACTATCAATACAAATGTAACAACTCACGTTTTCTCATAAGACAAGTATTGTGAATTTTCTTGATTGAAATGATCCACTTCTTTCTGTAGTTTTGCACTTTCTGATTCCAAATCATGAATTTTGGTTCTTAACAAACCAAGGAAGTATGACTGATCTCTGACCATTCTGTTAAGCTCTATAAAAAATAATAATGGCATTGTAATAAGTCATGTATATTGTTTGTACACACACAAAAATGAGGGGGGAGGGTCCAGAAACTTAAAACACAAAACTGTTAAAACATTTCATGACAATATTAACAAAATAAGGTTAAGACAGAATTTCAGAATTTGTACACAATACATTATATTATTAGACTATATGGTAAACCTGTACAGGTGTGGTAATGCATGCATTACTTGACATCACATTGTGGTAGTATTGATTTCCATCTAGTCATATTTTATATGTCATTGTATAGCAACAAGTTGTGCATGTGATAATGTACACAGAGAAAAACTGAATAAATCAACTGAATTTGAAGTCGAAGTTACTACCAGGTACTTACTTCTGGGTCCCATTTTCATACCACCTAGACCCTGCTGTGTAATTGGTCTATCCGCAACATTGATCCTAGAATCAAGCACTGTTAAGATAAAAATACATAAGCGCATTAAATATCACAACAACTCAACAAAACACTAGTTCACTAGATATTTGGTGACAGGTCTTGTCATGCATAGGTTTAAGGTGTGTTCTATTAACACTAATATATAACTGAATAAATGAGTGAAAATAAAGTCAAAATTAAAACCCAAATGAAGTTTTTAAACTGATCACATTTATTACAATTAAACTAAAAGAATATAAACTATCTTATGGTTGAATTGAAAGAAAATTGCCAAATCAAAAAATGGCTACATAGTAAATGTACATGTTAATTATTTTATCATAGCGCAATGAAGAACTGTGTTTTGAACGAATATGTAATTAATATTGAATATTATTATATACCTGTCACAATATCCCCATAAGTGCTGTAATTTTGCAGTAATGCACAGGGTTAATTGCATCCAATCTTATTTGGAGATGTGAATTCCAAATACGGAACGACTACATTGCATTTCATGCCTAGAAAGTTCAAATAGTTTTCACCATTTTGCTCGACTCTGGACTTCTTAAACCAGAGAAAATACAATAATAATCGTTTTATGAGGATATCGGAAAGTATGCATGATTGCATTGACCTCTGCTGCACGTTGGTTGATACAATTGCAGTAACTGTTGTGTTGCGATATACTCATAATAATGGCATACTATAATGATGTAAACACACTATTAGTCTTGATAACATACCCCCACTTCCACCAGCAGCAGCACCACCTCTTGATTCAGGTCTTGAAGTCCCTGGGGGCTAAAAATATACAAGTAGAACATCATATTTGTGCCTTTACATAGTGAAGGATTCTATGACAAGACTGTCTATCAGTGATGAAATAAACCTAATTTTGCAAGAAACATTTTTTTATGAGTCAGTCAGTGAAAATTGTAAAAATTTTATGCAAGTATCATGCTTAATTTCATTTTAGTGTAGAAATATTGCTAATTGCCAAATCATTAAGTATGAACACTGCAGGAATACGCCCTGCAAATTAGACAAATTTTCTCAACTTTGAAAGGCTGAGAGAAAGAACAGTGCATGTGCATCATTAATGTTTATAAATAAATATGACTACCATATTTGTTCGAATAGAAGAGCTTCTATTGGAGATTACTGAATCATTAAAATATTACTTATTTTGACCACAGAAACACTGCTGTGATTCATATATAGACTACTACCAATAATAGAGAGGTTGATGGTTTTTATGAATAATTTCCTGGTTGTCATAAACTAAGTATCATAATGATATGCTAAATTTAAAATACATGTATGAATATTTCCCCAACAAGCTAAAATTACTTCTAGATACACATATTAATTCAAGCTTTATAACTTACTGGGCCACCAGCAGCGCCGGTTGTTCTGGCTGAGGGTCCAGGTTGCCTAGTCATTGGACGGCTTGTCGTAGGTCTACGACCGGCAGTTGGTGGGCGGCTCCTGTAAGTTTAAGATCATTTTTATGTTGGTTAATTAGATGGGAATTCAAGAATTGTATATTAAATGAATATCTGTTGACCTTTTTATGTACATGTATGACACGAATACAATTTTTTTTCTATTTTCGAGGGGGTTGATTTCAGTCTTTTTTTTATTAAAATGGTTGGAAATGTGTTGAGCCAAGGATTTATGAGCATACATGGTGTAGTAACATACAACAATGCGAATTGAAGAATTCATCTGAATTGCAAGATGATCACGTTTTTAAAAAGGGAAAATGCGCGAGTCTGTGAAAAAACTGGTCAACGTTTGTTTCAGGCTATTTTTGCTGGTGTATTTTAAAAACATGTGTTATCCATTTTCCGACAACAGTAATTTCACTCATTTTTGGCAATTCCAAGCATCCACTGTATAATGTGATGGTTAAAATATGTATGATTGAACTGCATTTGGAGATCATAGATATCAAAGTTGCATAACCTGATATTATAATAAATCGTTTTTATTAGAATATAATAGTGATATTCTGTGTAAATTGGTGTCACAGATAAAGGAAATTTTGGATCTGTATTACATAACGTAGAAAGGGGTCAACATTTTACCATGCTTTGGCTTAATTTTCACTATACTCGTTTTAATGCTCATCTAACATTACTTAACATTAACGTGTAGTGCGCTAATAAGACCCCTTTAAATGTCGTGGGAATGTCACTATTCTGCTGTAGTTTTACTACTATTATTTTCATTACTGTGTTGTGTGTCAATCGTACAATAAATCTCATCCATCTTTCCTGTTTGGTCTAATATTTATCTAAGCAAGACCTCAACGTCATCGATCCCACTCGGCACCGCACGTCCTTATACACATTATCGTCATAACCTATGCTCCGTCATAATATAACACTACTCTTATATTTGCGTTGTTTAAAAATCTAAATCGTCAAAAATTTGACGATAAACAGTGACAACTCATCATAGAAGAAGAAATTGTGAGCGACATGTTGTTGTCAACGAAACGTAAACAGAACTGTGTTTAGCTATATTCACACTGAAAATATAAACGAAATTAACCCACTCGGTACTCACATGTTTGTTGATTTTAGTCTGTCGACGGAAATGTTAATATTCGGTTACAATTAACGAGTTAGAGTGATATTTCTGCCAGGTGATTTTACAATTTACCCGCTACTCGACAGGCTCAAGAATTTCGCATACAGCATTCTGGGTAAAACGGTCAGAGGTGACTGCGCATGTGCAAAAATGAGTTTTCAGTTCACATTACGTTGCTGTAGAACAAACTTTATATATGAACTCAAAAAAAAAAATTAACAATTCAAAGAATGTCGGATGTCTCAGTTACTTAAATGAAAATTGACGGCTTGTTTTACACCAGAAAATATTCCCAAATTCTCCGAAAACTTACACGTTGTAGTACTCACTTCTGAAAGAATAAATGACAGTGCTATCATTGTGACGTCACAGTGTTGCATATAAAGTCGTTCCAACACTTGTTTTTCACACGCGACCACAGTCTGATCTTCGCTAAAAACGTGCAAAATAACTAATTCTGCAACGTGGGCATTTGTTTCCAAATAACAGACGTTTTTTCGCTGCTGTCAAGATATTCGGCGTGATATTATGGGATCCGGGGCGTCGACCTTGAAGGAGAACGACGTTAAACGCAAAATCCAGGCAATGGGGAAAGTCAATGCGGCTCTCGGCGCAATGAAGAGCAACCATGACACTGGAGCCGATGGCAATTCGTCGCAGAAAGAAATTACAAGTGCAAAATTATCAGAACCAGAAATCGATAAAGCTAGCGCTGGGTGGGTGAAGATATCAGCATGGAATAAGCTTACATTCGGTTTTAAGTAAGTACGTTTACAATTTGTTTCGTGCATTATAATAATATAATATAATGAATGTATTGCATCCTTAGAAATAATTTCCATTGGTTGATCGCAATAAAATGTTAGTAATAAAGTACAATACATATAAAACTAAAGTAAAAGTAAAATGTCAGTTATTGTTATTTCTGATTTCAAATATTTTGTATAAGTATTCACCAACTTGTCTTATTAGTACGTCTTCTCTTGAACTCATAATATATTTAAATATCTGGTCATCACTTTCCAATTCTTCTGGAATATTGATATTATTAAATAACTTTTGTCTTTCTGTTTGGTACCTAAGACATTCCATGAAGAGATGTTCTTCATTTTCAATTTTGATCCTGGAACATTGTTTACAGATTCTGTATTCTAAAGGTATTTTGGGTTGGGTATGTCTACCCTTTTCAATTTCTAATACATGACTGCTTATTCTGAAACGAATCATTATGATTTTATGTTTCAGATTACATAAGAGCAAATACGGTTCAAAAGTGTATGAGTCTTTAAACTCTATATACGTTCTCAGTTTTCTATTATCATTTGTTACACCCAACTTCTAGAACTCTACATACCTTTGTCGGATGTTTTTTCGTATGTTTTTTTTATTTTACTGTGTGGTAATTTTTGAGGTATGAAAGACGAGGACAAGTGTCGTAACTATGTGATGTAAGGACAATATACGTTCATTATGCCAGTTTTCCGACACCTAATTATGCGATTTTTGTTATATTCACTATTTGAAAACTACGATCGTTAGTTTGTTTCTGGGGAGCACATAATGACTGGAATAGGTAGGACATATGACAAATCAAAAACAACCATCTTCCACCGACTGATTTTTAAATAATAATTTACATCCCTCTTCTATGAAACGCAGACTTTTCGAAAAAATCGAAAAAATCAAAACAACTTTATTTTAGAGAAATATATTTAGATATACATGCATATATGCATTTCAGTTTGATTTGTTTGTTTGTTCGGGTAGTATTTCCAAAATAACAAGGTCTTCCACTGTCAAAACACTGTCTTGTTCTTTTGTTATATTTTGACTTATGAGTAACAACCAGTCTTCGAAAAATTATCATCCCATTTTTGGTTTTCGCGAACATGCGAACTTAAAAAAGTATACCCTTCTCCGCGAAATCCAGACCCCACATGCGTATCACTCGACCAGCCAAGTCCCTCCCTGTTGGCACTTGAACGGCGGATAGCAATGCAAGTTGTGTGCATCGAGTCCACTGGGGCTTGTCAACTGACGGTGAATCCCTGTGATTGCCCATGTTTTGTGGTCGAGTCACCGTTGTGGTGCAGTACGTGCCCGGACACATGCTGTCATTGCTGGTCAGTGGTGGATCCAGCAAAATGTATTGGGGGGGGGGGGCAAGCTTCGCTTAAGATATACGGAGCGAAAATCGCAGAGAAGCTATGTGTAATCCAGATGATA